GGCCCCCTCCCCCAGCTTGGCCCCCGCCGCTCGGAACTGCGCCCCAATTACCTAGTTAGACCCCAAAGTCTCCGGTGCGGACTCGGTGGCGCGACAGTAACTTCCACTCGCTCCCCCCACCCCCCCCGGCGGCGGCGGCAGCAGCTCCTCGGTCCCTTCAATTATCAGCTGAGCCGCAGCACCGGCCGGCGTGCGCCTCCGCCCGCGCCACCTCCCTCCCCGCCAGCTACGACACTCCCGGGAACTACTTTGCCCTTCGCCGACGGGCGCGTCTGTGGGACAAGCCGTGCTACCTAATCGCGGCCCATCACATCGCCCCTCCCTCCCCCACCGGCCGGTGCGACTTCCCCAGCGGCCTCCGATCTCCTCCCTATCCCTTCAAGGGACCAGGAAGGGGGCTGTGAGGCTTCGTTTGGTATCCCTCCGCCGGGGTCACCCCCTCCCCTCCGTGGTAGCAGGAACTAATTCCCCTTCGGGTCACCCGGGGCCTAGAAGTGGAAATTTCCGGGATCAAGGTTTCCTGAGACCCTTGGGAGAGGGGACGATTACCCCAAGTTAGAAACCTCCACCTCCCCCGAGAGCTCAAAAGCGGGGCTCGATTTCAACTAGGGCTTTGGCCCCATGACCCCAAGCAAGTCCCGCCCCTTCCTGGTTGTCTTAGCGACGGCGGTGGCGTCCCAAGATGGCGTCGTGGCTGCCGGAGACTCTGTTCGAAACTGTAGGACAAGGCCCGGCTCCGAGCAAAGACTATTACCAGTTATTGGTCACCCGGTGCCAGGCAAGTGCGAGCCGCGGTTCACCCTCTCTCCTCACCCCCTGCCCCTCGGGTTGGGATCGGGAACGCGAGCCCCACTAGGCCGAGAGCGAGCTTGGCCCGCCGGAAGCGCCCTGTCCCAGCTCTGAGCCAGGAGATTTCCCTCGTCACCTCGGCCTCCGTGGTCCGGCGGCCCGCGTGTTCCTTCCCTCCCCTAGCCCGACTCGTCCCCGGCTAGCCTTGCTTGCCTCCCCTCCACGCCGCCCGCTCCCTTTCCGTCATCCCGGGTTCCTACCCGCAGAGTTCCCTCCGCGCGAGGAGAAAAACAGGCGTCCCCGGCTTGCGTGCAGCCTCACTTCAGCGTGGGAAGGAGGGAAAGAAAGACTCAGCCAAGTGTCCCGAGGAGGAGCCGACAGGGGAGGGGAGAAAGCAACGACCTCTTTTCCAGGGTAGGACTGAAACGTGGGGAATTTTAAAATCTTGTTGTAGTATTTACGACTACCACGCCCACATCAAAACTTCCTTATTTCTAGTAGAAACGGACGGCTGCGAGCTTTCTCCTTACCTTTTCGGAGCCCCTTTTGTCCCATTGAAAATGTGCGGGGGGTGGTCCAAAAATATTTCAGCTGCTCTGCGCGTCAGCCCCACCCACAATGACATCTGCTCCACCACAGTAAGGCCGAGGATTATGTTATCGGTGGAGTAAAGTAACCATCGGCCTGTTTTTATGACTAGCTATTGGAGGTAGGCTTTTTTGGTGATTTATTGTGGACATGAAATGATGAAGTACTCGATCGACCTGGGCCTCCACTCAGGACACGTTTCTTATTCCTGGCGGAGCTTACACCTATCTCTGACATATTCGTGCACCTTGCAATTTAATAAATGATATTCCCATAAAATGAAATTTTGAACTTTGTATATATTTATTTTAGTGTGGATATTGAATATTCCATCAATTTTTCGTCAAGTCCTTAAAATAGGAAGAGAATGAATTTTTTAATAGCTTTAAAATTATCCTTTTAAATGGAAATATGTATTTTATTTTCTAAACCCAAGAAGTCACAATATTATCCGTGTTATATCGGCTTGTCAAACCTAAATTTTTAATTACCTTTTTCAAGAATTTTTATGCATTTAATTAAGAGATTTCATAAATAATGAGATTCAAATTTTCAGTATATCTTGTAGGTTTATTGACTCTTTTCCATTTGTTTTAAGGCATATGATGTTAATATAATTCTTCACCTTCTAACATGAGTGATCGAAAACTTAAATCTTTGAATCCTACTTCATTTTATATTTATTTTCATCCACCTCAAGTTAGAAAATTCTAATGTTTACTTTACCACCTTTTACATAATTTGTCTTTACGTTTTTTCTTTTGAGCATTTTATTTTTATTGAGGGTCTGAAATTACAAGTGTGCTAACTCTAATGTTGTAAGTCTCAACAAGTGGAATACCTGTTTACCTTTTCTTTTTAGTAAATTAAATACAGGATCGCATCTGGCATTTGGTTTCTTGAAGAATGCTTCTGTTCTTGGTGTTCTTCAGACTTTGCTCACATGTCTGACTTGGCGCTTGCTTTTCTCTAACTACTCCATTTTATAAAGTCTTTTCCCCTTCCAGTATCCCTCCTTTCTCCCTCCCTACCTCTCTTCCCCCCTCCACCATCCCCTCCGTCCCTCCCTCCCTTCTTTCCTGCCTTCCTTCTTCATTCCTTTTTCTTCCTTCCTTTCTTTCCAGATCAAAAACTCTCCTTTATTTCAGGCTCTATTTTGTCGATTGCTTGTATATAAAATCATTTTCAAGATCTGATCCAGTTTTCTTTTTTAAGCACAGTGAACATACCCATTACAATTCTACAAGGAAGAGTTCATCTCAAATCTGATTAATTCACCCTCTTTTTAAAGTAAAATTTGTTGTTTTTTAAGTCAAAAAATACTCTTGTCAGTCAACTGTCTTGAGAATATACTATTTTCTAACCACAGGATAATTTTTCTAAGTCTCAGCACAGGAAACCAAACATCCAGTAAGAGGTAGCCTGACATAAGTAAGTACTAAAAGAGTAGAGTTCAAATGTGTTTCATAAGATGGACTTTTTCTGGAGTGACTTTCTAAAATTGTTTCTTGCAGCTTTTTTTTTTTCTGTCACTTTCCTTCTGCTTTTATTCCCAACAATGTTGTATATTATTCAAAATAGGCCCCAAATTTAGATGGACTCTTCTTTCTGCAAATTCCCTTTGTTATTTTCTTTTTCCCCCTTTTTACTGTATTTCTATTGGCTTTAAAACCAAATAACTGCACATTTGATAAGAATTTGAGGGCAGACATCTCTCACATTAGTATCTTGCTTCATTGGCATTGTCCAGAATATGAATGTCATACGTAAGTATTTCCTTTGCCTTCTTGCATATGCGTTAACTCTAAAAATATGTGTGTGTGGGGGTGTGTGTGTATATATATATGTTTATGCTTCTAGAGGCATTCCAAGGTGCCCTGGTGGCACAGTGGTTAGACACTTGGCTGCTAACCGAAACGTCGGCGGGTCGGCAGGTAGAACCCACCAACCGCTCTGGTGGAGAAAGATGTGGCAGTTTGCTTCCTTAAAGATACAGCTGAGAAGCCCTATGGGGCAGTTCTACTCTGTCCTATAGGGTCACCATGAGTCAGAATTGATGGCAAAGGCCGTGGGTTAGAGGCATTCCAAATTAACAACTTGATGCCATGGATTTTTGTTTTTTTCATAAAAGAATCTTTCAGAATATAGCTTGGGGTCATTACAGATTAATTCTCAAATCTGATCATTATAATGATGATCTGTAGGCTTAGAAAAATCATTGCAATGCTTTCCAGATGAAAGAGTCAATTATTCTCAATCTAGTTTTAGTAGTGTCTATTTTTTCTTACGTTGAATTCTCGTTCTTTGAAAACTGGTTGATTCATACAGTGTTAGGGCTGGAAAGAATCTTGAATATTATTTAGGCCAGGAATATTTCATACAAAACTTCTGAGAAAGTCTTAAATTGTGTTCTTAAATGAAAAGCCTTTCCTTAATTTTAATTAACAACTTGACATTTGTTGTAGGATGCAAAATATAAGATGATTCCCCCAAATAATTCATAAAATCATTTCACAAATTTTTTTAAGCACCTTTTATGTGCCTGAGGAGCCCTGGTGGCTCAAGTGGTTAAAGCGCTTGGCTGCTAACCGAAAGGTGGGCAGTTTGAACCCACCAACCCTTCTGTGGGAGAAAGATATGGCAGTTTGCTTTCCTAAAGATTACAGCCTTTGAAACCCTATTCGGCTGTTCTGCTCTGTCCGGTAGGGTCTGTATGAGTTGGAATCAACTCAACAGCAGTGGCTTTGGGTTTTTTTGTTTTTATGTGCCAGGTGCTGTTGTAGATTCTAGGGAAAAATCGGCAAACCAAAGTCCCTTCTTTTATGGTGCATTATAATCTGGTGGGAGAATATAGTTAGTAATTTGATGTGTATGAACACTTATATGGTCTAATTTTTGTTTGAACTTTTTAAGTCTAAGGGAAGACTTGTCAAGTTGATGAATAGTACAGACGCTTTAAAATCTGTGAGTCCAGAGAAAGCAAACATCACTTTAGAACAGGTAGTCCAGGAGGGTACAGTATCTTACCCTTGAAATTCTGCGTTCTTTGTCCCCTCAAAATGGAAGTGTTGTTAAAGGTGGCCAGAACTGGTGACATGTTTAGTATGAGACAAATACTGGCAAAGTGCTAGAAACGTCAAAACCTTCAGAGCAGCCATATGCTAAGTAGACCAGAGTTGGCAGATATGAAAGTGAAGAATTACGTTAGCATCATACTTCTTAAAACAAAGTGAAAACAGTCAATAATCCTACAAAATTACTAAAAATATAAAATTTTGGTGTTTGCAGTATCTCTTAAATGTGTCAAAAATTCTTGAAAAAAAGGTGTTTAATTAAAAATCTAAGTTTGACATATAAAATTAACGGAGCCCTGATGGCCCAGTGGTTAAGAGCTACGGCTGCAAACCAAAATAGGTCAGCAGTTCAAATCCACCAGCCGCTCCTTGGAAACCCTATGGGGCAGTTCTGCTCTATCCTGTAGGGTCACTATGCGTCAGAATCAACTCGACAGGAATGGGTTTGGTTTTTTTTAAAATTAATATGTTGCTTGAAGCTAATACCACAGGTGCATGTCCCAAGAGCATCCACATGTTACAGCCATTCCAGTAGATGAAAGAAGAAAGAAAAGTTGGATGATAGATCAGTCTTACTTTGTCTTACTAACTTCTACTCAAAACTCCAAAATGAAGATATCTAAAGCTAGTGTCCCTGGAAAACAACCAAAAATCAAAAGCTCACCACCACCCCCCAAAAAAAGATGGCAAATATTTTTGAAGTGCTATAGAGTGACATTGTACGAGGTCCTGTACCAGCCTGTGATATGAAACTGTCACCTCAGTAGCTTCTGAAGAAGGAGCTAAGGAAATGAGACTTTATCTGGTGGGTGGTTGTTTGAGAGACTTAACAACAAAGAATTGTACCAGGACTGATTCAAATTATAGCACAAGTTTAAAGATTGAAAATCTAGCACAGTCTAATAAAAATGTAAATACATGCACCCTTTAATCTTAAAGCAGGTCCATTTCCAGGATTTTATACTCCGAAAATACTTTCACCTGTGCACAAGCATATACAAGCAAGAATGTGCAACGAAGTAAAACAGGTATAAAAGCATCTGTTAGTGGAAATTTGGCTAAACTGTGATACACCCATATCATAGAATACTATGTAACCTTTTAAAAGCAATGTGGTGGATCTCTATTTACTCAATAGATCAAATAGAAATTTAAGTGAAGAAAAGCAAGTTGCTGGTTATGTATAGCATGATTCCATTAAAAAAAAAAAACTTGTTTTAAATAAAAGTTTTTAAAATAAATATAAGAGGAAAAGCTGGAATGATTAGTTCTTAGGGATTGCTTTCACTTTCTGCATTGCATATTCCTGAAAGAACTGATTGTTTCT